GGAAGGTGCACAGACTACTTTGAAGGACACTTTCCTTCCAGCTGGTTCATACGAGATGACTCCAGTGTTTTGAAAACACGTTCGCATCGTGCTTGTCCATAACGAATGTGAACTTCATTATTTTGCAGCAATAATCAAGTTACCAGCATAATTTAAATCAGGGGTCTTGTTGTAGAAAAAGAGCTGCCGGAGCTCATTAGCATAACTCATTAGCATAAATTATTTGCATATGCCACGCCCCCTGACATCACCGGAAGTGACAGAAGGCCACACCCCCTGACATCACCGGAAGTGTGTCAGAAGGCCCGGCTACTTACCCTCCTGCTTCATCCTGATTCCCAAACGGAATGAGGATCGAAGCAGAGGGCGGGGTAAAGAACGGGGCGGGGCTTCACCACGTGACCGCCCCGCCCCCTAGAGGTTCTCTTCCGGAGCTCCGTACCTGAGAGCTCCCCCCCGACTAGAGCCCTGATTTAAATGATAACACCTTTTGGAAAAGTGTCTGTGTTATCTCTTGCTTGTGGCTTGCTTTGCATTCCCCTGCTCCTGCCAAGCCATAGATTGCCTAGGATACAATGTGCTGAACACAGCGCCTAACTAATGAGTACTCATTTAAATACAGGTATACTTGACTGCCAACCTAGCAGTTTGAAAGCAAGAAATTGCAAGTAGATAAATAGGTACCACTTCAGTGGGAAGGTAACAGCGTTCCGTGCGCCTTGGTGTTTAGTCATGCCGGCCACATGACCACGGAAATGTCTTCGGACAGCGCTGGCTCTTCGGCTTTGAAACGGAGATGAGCACCGCAACCCTAGAGTCGGATTCGACTGGCTTTCGAGCAAGGGAACCTTTACCTTTATACTTGACGGCAACACATCTTGAGATCCATAATGCCGCCCCTGTTCTGTGTGAGTGTAACCATAATGCTATTGTGTGGTGATATTATTGCCGTTCATATATTTTGAGAGATTCCTAAGAACATATTTTTCCTGAGGGTTGGAGGCGCAGGAATTACTAGACTGTACAGTGGTCTTAATATGGTGGGGGAAGAGTACTTTTAGCCAACTGCATTTGGTGCAGAAGCCATCTCTCCTGTTGGATTCAGATGATCCAAGCATCAGGGGCTAAACTACTGCAGTATACTCCACATGGGGCTGCTCTTGAAGGCAGCCTGGAAACTGCATTAGTTAGCAGAATACAGTGGGTCATCAGTGGGATCTTGTCACACCCATTTAAAACAGCTCAGTTGGTTACCACCAGTATTTTTACATGCAAGGTGCAGGTTCTTACCTTTAAAGCTCTTCATTAATTAGGACACACATATCAAAGACCATCTCTCCTGGTGTGACTCTGTATACCAACTTCTGTCTCCCCAGCCATCTGTCCTGCTTGATCCCTCAGCCAAAAATGGTTAAATTGGCTGCTGCTTAATCACAGGTTTTCACACTGGTGGTACCCTCCCAGTGGAATGGGCTCTCAAGAGTGCCTACTTTGACTGCTTTGAGAAAGCACTGCAATCCAGTATTGTTCAGGAGTGCCTTTAAAAGAAGCTGCTGCTGCTGCTGCATGTTCTGTTAGGGGGTTCAAAACATGGGCTCTTGGGTTGTTGTTGTTTTATTTCTCTGTTTTATAGGTTCATGCTAGTTATGAGCCACTTTGGGCCTCCGTGTATGAAGGGAAAGGTGGGATATGAATATTTAAATGAATAAATAAAGTCAGTGTGCAGAGAGGGGGGAAGCAGAATCGTGGCCATTGGCTGCATCCCCCTATGTGAGTTCTGCATAACTTCTGGAAAAAGCCTCTGTGCATATAAATGGTATGCACATTGGCTAGGCTTTATATAGGCAATGGGGTATATCTCCTGTGTGCAGACGTTTCAGTAAGTTCTGTGGGCTCTGTCACAAATCATGTTGAATGCATGTAGGGGTGGGCTAGCAAGCTGCCACAATCCTGCCTGTTCCTGTTTTGTAATCCAGCTTCCTGAGTGTGTTGACTGCATGACAATGTATTGTGTGAATATTTCTGCATTTAGGCAACCCCCCCCCCCCTACCCGTATTTTATGACAGGAACATATCAATTGGCCCTTACCCTTTCATTTGGTAGGCTGCTTCTCACATAGTCCAGTTATGTAGGAAAGGCAGAGGTCATTTCGGGGGGGATCGCGGGGGATCGCAGTTCCCCCAGGTGAGGTACGGGGGCGGGGCACATGACGAAGCCCCGCCCCCTGCTTCCGGCCGCCCCGCCTCCGGCCCTCATTCAGCCAGGAGGAGGCAGGAAAAGAGGGAGGGTAAGTTGCTTCCTCCCTGCCTCTCCCCACCCCTGCCTGCCTGGGGCCAGGGAGGGCCTTCGCGGGGCTTCCTTGCACTCCTGCCGGCCTTGCAGGTCCACCGCCAGGCCCCTCATGGGGCTCGGCAGTGGAGCTGCAAGGCCAGAGGCCAGGACCGTTGTGGGCGGGGTGTATGGCCTTATGACACACTTCCAGTGATGTCAGGGGGTGTGGCCTTATGACACACTTCCGGTGATGTCAGGGTGTGTGGCATATGCTAATGAGTTATGCTAATGAGTTCCCCTAGCTCTTTTTCTACGAAACAACCCCTGAGGAAAGGTGTATGGTGGAGTACAGAAATGAGTCACAGGCTTACACACCCTGCCTCTCTGATGTGCATGCCATTCAGTGTAAATGCTTACCCGTGTGAAAGCACATCCTACTCTTAAGATTCACCCACCCCTTCTCACAGTGAGTGTAATAGTGTGGGGCCTACTCCTGTAGGCATTTACAGGCAAGCCTCTTGTGAGAGCTTATAAACATTGTGTGGGAGAAAGCATGAGCCATATTCTGAAACCTTGCTGAACATACAACCTTCACACCTGGCCTGGTGTATGACCTTAATTTTAAAACTTATAATCACAAAAATACATGTTCATTAACAACAGGATGAGACTCATATCTATAAACACTGTGCCTGCTCATTGGCAAGCAAGCAGCTCAGCAATTTTTTGTAGTTTTTAAGAATCAAAAGGCATGAAAAGAGAGTATAATGCATCATCACATAATGGTCTCTTGACACCATTACTAAGGTCAAGGACCAATTGCCCTTAAAGACCAAACTTAAACATTTAACTGTAATCATCTCTTTCCACTATCAGCACATATTTTGCAGGGCATTTCCCTCCCAACCTGAGGGCACCAATAAGCTCTTTTGAGAAAGTCTAATGTTTTTCCGGACTATCTTGGTTATACGTTGCATTTTGCCTCTGAACTATTTTGGACGTCAAGAAACAAGAGTGAAAGGAGGGGAAAGACATGTCCATTTTCTTTATTTGCCTGAGGTTAAATAGTGGATTAAATGAAGTTCTGAAGCTGTTTCTCCTTGGATGCTACCACTAGTAACAGTTCATGCTGAATCCTACTCTGTGTAACTCATTCTTCATGTATGTCCCTTCCATTATGTCATTGTAACCAAAATTTTCTAGCACCAGATTTTATATTAGAAAACAGTGGCTTGAGAGCTCCTGCCCAGGGGTCTACACTACTCCAGTCACACATCTTAGTGAAGAAATCACATGGGCAAGATGCATAATACCTCAGGAAGATACCAGGAAGGAATATTGTCATTAGCTCCGCTCAAGATTTGGACCCAAATTTCTTCTACCAATCTTTCTTTAGGACCTGTAAGATATTCTAAGATATTCAACAAGGGAAGGATGTATTTCGATCGATGTGAGAAAAGGTGCGAATATATGTAACATTCTTCAAAAATATTTTTAACCCAAACAACATATTCAAGAAAAAAAGATATTCTACTAGAGTTACCAACCTTACGGTGTTTCCCCAGAATTATAACTGATCTCCTGGCTACAGAGGTCTGCTCCCCTAGAGAAAATAGCAGCTTTGGATACCAGACATTACACCTCTGCTGAGCTTTCTCTTCCCTAACTTTGCCCTCCATAGGTAATGCCCCCCAAATATCCAGGAATTTTCCAAGTTGGAGTTGGCAACCCTACAATACAACCAGTTGATATAAGGCCACCATATCTTTAATTAGTTAATTTAGATATTTATATCACACTTTTCTCCCAAAGAAGGACCCAGAGTGGCTTGAAAGATCATTCTTCCCTCCTCCATTTTATCCTTACAACCCTGTGAATATGGTTGCCAGGTCCTCTTCTTTCACTGGTGGGGGGTGTAAGGGAGCTTTCTGGGGGGTGGGTGACATCAACACATGTGACGTCCCTGGTGTGATGATGTCACACAGGAGTAGTTTTAGCCTTTTTGTGGATAGACCCAACAGCAGGGTTACCCCACTCTTAACCTGAACCAAAGTCCCCCAAAGGTCAAGTCAGAAAGGACACTCTCAGCTTGAGCCACAGAGTCAGCCTGCAAGCACGCTGCAAAAAGGGATTTCATACTCAGGTTTCACACAAGGCAGACCTTCAAGGCCATCTCCAATCTCCTCCTCCACCCAAAAAGGTATGCTTATGGAATAATAATGAGTTCCTCCAGGTGTAGTATCTGTATTTCTATAGCTATTCAGTTGCCACCAGGCCCATAGCCTTTCTGTCTCCAACTCTGCACATAGTCCTTTTTGTGATTCCTGTACCTATGTGAAAAATCCTTTGTCTCAACACCTGTCCTTCCTGCCCCATCCCTCAGGATACCGAGATAACGAATCCAACATTCAAATTATTAATGATCCTTCCTGGCATCTATCAGGGACCCATCTCCCACCTTTTGTTTACATTTGAGAAACTATTCAATCCAAACCATCAGTGGCCATCAAGACCAACTAGCTATCCATGGCTAGACTCATAAAGGCTATTCTACAGCTAGACTCTGCCTCTCTGTGACCCCATTGGTCACACGTAAATTATGCTCCACCCGGTGTCACACCTCCATGGACTCCTTATTGGTATAGAAAATCTACTGTTCTCACATGAGACCAGCCCCCAAGGCCTCCCATTAGTTTGCCTTGTTTTCCAATGTCTATATCCATCAGAGCACATGGCCTCAGATTGTGTATGTCTGCCCCTGATGCCAACTGGCAGTTCACTCCCAAACTTTGGTTTGGGCCATAATCTCATCTCCATGCCCCCCTGCATGTCTGGACAGGTTGTATCACCCCATAAGTAACCCCTCTATTTGTTATCAATCACCTCTGATTTCTTAGTTCTGTATTGTTTGGTCTTTTTGAATGTTTAGTGTGCTTGTAATTAGGGAAATACTTTAGCAAAAACTATCTAATTTACTTTTCAAATTTGGAGTCTTCTGACTGTACCAGGCCTTGGTATAAACTGGTGTACAGGTCCCTTGTACCCCTCTGGCCTTGCCTGCTGCCTAGCTAATTTCCCCAAACAACGAGGCAGGCCATTGGTGGTAACATGATGTCATCACACCGAGGATGCCACATGGTAACACTCTGGTATTTTGGGCAAAACTCTATGGTTACCAAAATACTAGAGCGTTGCTCTGCAATGCACCTGGTGTGATGACATCACTTCCGTGTGATGTCATCATGCTGGGGGCATTACAATGGGTGGTGGCTGTTGGGGTTGGGGCTTCCCTCTGCTGGCCAACTGGTTGGCAGTAGGCAGGAGCCCACCAAATCAGGGGATCCCCCACTCCCACCTATGGGCTAGCAACCCTACCTGTGAAGTCTGTTAGGCTGAGATGACCCAGCACACTGCCATAGCAGAGAGGGGATTTGAACCTGTGTAACTCCTTGAGTCCCAAGGGCCAGGTTTAAAGTCTAGGGTAATGATCATAAACTCAAAATGTAAGTCCCATTTATTTAAATACAGCAAAAAACAACTGTGAAAAACAGTCCCAAATATGTCAATACTGGTTCACTAGCCACTGTCTCAGAGCAGAGTCCTAATCACAATCCACTTTCTAGAAGGCACAGACAGCACTGTGTGTGCTTCCTAAGGCTAAACCTGGAGCCCAGTCCCAGATGTCAAGAAAGCGTTCTTGTAACAGCAGGAACTCTTCCTGTGAAGATGCTAGATGAGTCTTCATGCTTGTTCATTGCCCTAGGAACAGCTTCCCTTTCCTCCTGGCAAAACAAAGTGGGCCAGCTAGGGTGCTGGTTTCAGTGCGGTCAATGGAGAGTTTAGCTGTCAGCAGGGGTCATTTGGGGGGGGGACGCGGGGGGACGCCATCCCCCCGGGTGAGGTGCGGGAGGGCGGGGCCTGGAGCTCCCTGCTGGTGCCCGCTGGAGGTCGCCGCCCGCTGTGGGGAGGACACGCTTCCGGTGATGTCAGGGGGTGTGGCATATGCTAATGAGTTATACTAATGAGTCCCCCTAGCTCTTTTTCTACGAAATGACCCCTGGCTGTCAGCAATTCCTGCTCTTCAGTTCTTCCCAGCTACTGCAGCTCTCCCAGGGAGGATTGTTCAGTTCTTCTCAGCTAGCGATTTCAGCTCTGTCTTCTCTGTTCTTTTTGAATCCAAAGCTTGTAAAACAAGCTTTGCCCTTCAGAGAACACCACTTTCAGCCCTTCTAAATCAATCTACCCTTCTAGTCCTTTCAGCTAGCCCAGTCCTGCTTTCTACCACCTCTCATTTTCAAAGTGGCTCTTTCAAAAGCATGCCCCATGTGCCTTTGCTAAACATACAAATTAACACAAGCCTATGTACACATCAGCCACCTGCTAGTCTGGCCTGGCCTGGCCTAAGGTCTGTCTAAGTATCTGCATTCTGCTAATCAGACCTAGGCCCCAAATCCTTTTTCCCCCAGTACAGGCTTACACTTGTGTTTCCCAAATCTTTGTCCAACACTCTTACCACAACATCACGCTGGCTCTCTTATATACACATTGTGCATGCAGCCTGGAATGTGTGTGGGCCTTGGGCTTGCCCCCATTCCATGTTGCACAGTTAGTATTCTAAGGCCCACATCTGCACGTTCACACATGTGTATGCCCCATACCTCCAATGCCTGATTCAAAAAAGAAGAGTGGATGAATCATGCAGATGGGGTTCTAGACCTGAATTAACATTAGCGTGAGGCACAGCGGCTCATAGTTGTTATGGAAACTGGCAGCCATTACCATTGCTGTGATGTTTCTTACCATGTAATGCTTACATGTATCTCACTATTCCTCCAGGGATCTGAAGGTGGCATACATGATTTTTTCCTCCCGGTATTATCCACACAGCAGCTCTGCAAGGGAAGGGAGGTTGAAAGACAAAAATTGTTTCATGGTCACCCAGCAAGCTTCATAGCAGAGGGGGATTTGAACCTGGGTTTCTCGGCTCTTAGCCTGAGACTCTAACCACTGAGCCACACTGGCCATATATAAACTGGAGGGGTACTTTTAGTACTACCATACAAAGAACAAAGGACATTTTGATTTAAGGGCAGCAAAGTCATCCCACAGAGACCTTTATCCTTAAATATGTCTCCCAGTATTTCTCAGTATCTCCACAGTAAAGCTTTCCCCTCATGAAGTCAAGAACAACTGCAGTTGTCAAGTGAGGTCAACGCCTCTTTCAGCTGTCCAGATCCTGTGACATGTACAGATGTGTGAAAGAATAGACAGGAAGGCTCTATTTTTAGAGAATTTACTGGCATAGTTTAAAAAACCCACTGCATTTTAGAGTAGAAAAAGGGGAAGCGCAGATCAGCTGGAGGGGATGGTGTGTGCACTTTGGTTCCGACTGCCTCCCATTAGAACTCAAAGCAACTTACTGGGAGACACAAATACAAAGCAGAAAACGAAAGTAAAAACGTTTCTGATGATCTGCTATTTAGATAAGAGTTTGTGTAGTTAAAGTATCAAGACTGGACTGGAGAGATCTGAGTTCAGATCTCCACTCATCTATGAAGCTGTCCTGGTGACCTTCAAACCAGTCTAACCCCCTCACTGGACTGTTGTTATGATAAAATGTATCCCACCCTGAGCTCCGTGGAGAAACTATGGTTAAAAATGTAATGGATAAGGAAATTGCAGCCCAAGAGCTCTGTCTGAATCTCTGTAACTTTCTGTCTTAACTGTACAGTAGCTTTGTGTGTCATCTAGGGATGCCACCCTCCAGGTAGGACCTAGGGATCCCCCCAGAATTACAGCTAAACTTCAGACTACAGAGATGAGTTCACCTGGAGAAAGTGGATTCTGTGGAGGGTAGACTCTTTGGCATTGTACCCCACTGCAGTCCCTGTCCTCCCCAAGCGCCATCCCCAAATCTCCAGCGGTTTCCCAACCTGGATATGACAACACTAGCATCCTCCCTTACAGAAGTATGGCCTGTCAAGCATGGGCGTAGACTTTCCAATTTCCCAGGGGGGGGGGCTGGGGCTGGGCCAGAGGCATTGCTGTGCTAGGAGCAAGGGTGGCTGGAACCAGTTGCCCCCGGGGGCAGGGCCGGCCCCAGGTGTTTTTGCACACTAGGCGAGGATACCTTCTGGCCAATGACATCCAGCAAGCTTTGATGGCAGAAAGGGGATTCAAATTTGGTCTCCTAGATCCTAATCTGACATTCTAACCACTATATGACACTGGCTGTTACATCTACTTCCTTTTCCTATTCTCAGATGCTGCAGCCTTTTGCTGTTCAACTGCACACTTTTACTTGTAGCCACTGAATGTTTATATACTTAAAGGCAAAATTTTATCTCCCCCCCCCGAAATTGGAGTTATTTGGTCTTTGCAAACCATGGTCTTTGATAAGGATGAGCTAAAGCATAAGGTTTGCAAACTAACAAGCAGGAATAGTCTGCCTAGTTGGAAATCCATGTTGCCTGAATTATGGATGAAATTCTGATTTCTGTACAAGAGAGTCACTGTGGGCACTAATTTTATCAGTGGCCTACTGGTGGCAATAGAGAATAAACCCTCTTTGTGAAAAGCTAGAGAGGTGTACTCCCCAGTGGCAGCTTGAGACCAGAGTCAACTAAGTAAATATCTCATTCTTCATAATAAAAACAAAGGTCTGGAGAGTCATTTTAACAACTCACCAACAAAGAAGCTTTATGACAATATTCATCCACTGGGGTGGGAAAGAGACACAGTAGAGCAAGAGGATTTAGGAATAGTAAGAACAGGTTCTTGGTAAAGTTCATTTGCAAAGGTCCTGAACAAATGCCTAAAGAAGATAACAGGATGGATGTGGATCAGTAAACTAAAGCTTAATCCAGAGAACATTGAGTTGGTTGAAGACAAAGCTGCTTGAAGAGTGAGGAGCTAGGCTGTTCTAAAGGAGCTAGGCTGTCTCCCTTTGAAAGAGCAGTTTTTTTGCTTGGGGGTGCAGCAGGAGGGAGGCTCAAGTTTTCTCTGTAGCATGCTGAACCTTCTATCTGCTTTAGTCAATAATCTAGCTATGGCCATTTCTAAAAAAAAATGACTTGGCCATGGTGATCCATAGTCTGATTATATCCAGGTCAAAGTGCTGCAATTGGCTTCATGTAGGGTTGCCTTGGGAAACTCTCAAATTCAATTGGTTCAAAATGCAGCAACTAGAATACCCTTTTATTTCTGGATCTTACCTTGGAGGCCCTAAATGCCTTGGGGTAACTCAACTATTGCCTCCTCCTACATTATCCAGCCTGCCAGTTAAGATCCTCCTTCACACTCCTTTTTGTGTCCTCACCTGCAGAGAGGGGGTAGCCATGTGGGTCAGCAGGCTACAGTGAGGAGGGTGAAACTGTTCCCTTTGATAGTGTCTTTCTCCTTTCTCACTGCAAACCACACTGACCCAGGATAGCCCAGAGTATGGTGTTCCCCATCAGTATGTGGACAGTGAAGAAATCAAACTGGAAGAAAGTCCATTCAGTTGAAATGTGGTTTTGAGGGAGAGTTTTACAGACACAGTGGGCTGCCAAAAAGACAAATAAGTGGGATGTAGATCAAATCAAGCCTGAACTCTCCCCTAGAAGTTAAAATGGCAAAACTGAGGCTATCATACTTTGGTCACATTATGAGAAGACAAGACTCACTGGAAAAGACAATAATGCTTGGGAAAAAATGCTGGAAGGCAGCCCCCAAAAGAGGAAGACACAAAATGAGATGGACTGACTCAATGAAAAGAAGTCGCAGCCCTCAGTTTGCAAGACCTGAGTGAGGTTGTTAAAAGGCCTTCTCTCCCACCCCTCCTCAAGTCACAGCTGACTCATGGTGAACCCCCTGGGGTTTTAAAGGCAAGGGACATTCAGAAGTGGTTTGCCAGTGCCTGGCTTGGCATTGCAACTCTGGTATTCCTTGGCGGTCTCCCATCCAAATGCCAGGGGTGACCCTGGTTAGCTTCTGAGAACTGATGAGATCAGGCTAGCCTGGGCTATCCACTGTCTTTTAGGTGCTAGGCCAAATCCCAGGCTTTAACTGAAGGGTATCATTAGTTTTAGTTAGTTATGTTTTATAGCCTCAGCAGTCCCAGCTTTTAACTTCAGCTTTAAGAAATCAAGGGTTTTGTTTGTTTTAGGGGAAGGGGGTTTATATTTACATCTGCCAATGATAGTATGTTAAAAAGAAATTAACAGCCTGGGATATTTGATAAAGATATAACATGCAAATCTTTCAAAATGCAAGCTAGTTTTTCTAAACAAATAAAATTGATTTGTTCAATTTAATACT